CCCAGCCCAGGGAAAGAACCCAGGTCTCCTGCACTGCAGGCGGACTCTTTACCGTCTGAGCCCCCAGGGAAGCCCCCGGCATTGGCAGGTGGGTTCTTTACACTAGCGCCACCTGGGAAGCCCATTCTAGCAGTTCTCTGGAAAGCAGACTGGAAGAAGTGGGAGCAGGAAACCCATTTAGTCACTGGAAAGGACAGGAATGGCAGAGCAGTCAGAGCGGTGACCGAGCAGGTGGAAGAGCGTTCTCTTGACCAGAGAATTTCTAGACACAGAACTGAGTGTGCACATGAATTAGCTGTCCTGGCAATGTGGAGGCTTCGAGTGGCCACGGTCAGGCGGTGGGAAGGGATGAAGTTAGACATTTGGGTTGGAAAGGGGATGTTTGCCACCAGAACGTTTGACCTTCAGCCCAGAATCCACAAGGAGGCCCTGCAGAGGACACTCCCTTCTATTCTGGCCTCAGCATCATTGTGATCATCATCTTAGCTAAATAAGTATTCACAGGAATAAACTTGCCAGGAATAAAGTCAACTAATCCACTTTACCAAGATTTACACATGATGCAATCTTATTAAACAAATCTCATCAATACAGAAAGAGACAGACACTCATTATGCACCCCAATCACCCACACTGTGCCTGTCTCCCCTCCTCCTCTCAGCTGCCGATGGCAAACAAAGCCACTTAAGTGAACAGTCTTCAATGTATAATATTAAAATGTGTTTTGTAAAACTCCGTGGAACCCCTAGCCATTGTTCAAACACACTTGCTCTGATAGATGCTTTGGCATTTTTTTTTATGAGGCTTTTCAATGTGTTACTTTATCGGGTGCATGAGATTGAGTCTGTTCTGCAGAAGAAAACAGACAAAAAGGGTCTCTCAGCACGAGTTACTCTTCTGTAAAGGTTATAGTAAACATGTCAATGCCTAATTAAGCAGAAAATTTTATCTGTATTGTGGGGGAGGCATTTGCTGTCTTCGACTTTTCTTCTGGGGAATCCATTTAGGACATAGTAGTCTGTGAAGTTGAGCTGGGCTGGAAAGCTCAGCTTCCAAATGTCAGCATTAAAAAAGAACACTCCTAAAAAAAAAAAAAAAACACACACACACTCCTTTTCTCCTTGTGTGAAAGTGGCTATATTGGCCAGGCAGATTGTCTGTGGGGTGTGTGTGTGTGTGTGTGTGTGTGCGCGCAAATGCCTGTTCCTGATTCCATGTATTTTTTCAGCACACACACAGCATAATATGAATTATTTCCCAACTTCCCACTAACTGTCAGGCTTATCTGGTGGTTCAGATGGTAAGGAATTCACCTGCAATGCAGGAGACCCTGGTTCAATCCCTGGGTCAGGAAAATCCCCTGGAGAAGGGAATGGCAACCTCCTTCAGTATTCTTGCCTGGAGAATTCCACATAGCCTGGCAAGCTACAGTCTACGGGGTCGCGAAGAGTCGGACACAACTGAGCGACTAACACTCACCAAGTGTCAGGCCCTGGGCTGGGCACTGATGATCGTGAGGCGAATAAAGCCCGGCAGTCGTTGACCAACAGTAATGAGCAGCAGCCCTCCTGCCCCTCGCGTGTGTGGGTGTCGATGCTTTGTTTTGGCGGTCGTTTCACGCACAGGTGAAGCGACTGTATGTCTTAACCCGGAACAGTCCTGGCCAATCTGTGTCCTCCCAAAGAATGAGTAGTAAAGAGCCTTTAATTTTCAGAAGTGACTCTGCATTACGGGCAATATTGGCCTGATTCTTTGAGTATTTTGCTTGGCTCTGTAACAAGTCATTTATTGATTTTGTGAACAGACCTTCTCCTTCAGCTTAATGGTATGACTGTTTTTACAAACATACAAGCCAGTCCAGAAAAAAAAAAATGCAGTGAGAATGGGGTGGAGCTATCTCATTCAGTTCTAAGCTAGAGTTTTCTTGGGGCTTTACGAGCAGTAAAGAACCCATTTGCCAATGCAGGAGGCACAAGAGACTGGGGTTCAATCCCTGGGTCTGGAAGATCCCTTCTTCGCTGCAGAAGGGCACAGCAACCCACGCCAGTCTTCTCGCCTGGAGAATCCCATGGACAGAGGAGCCTGGCGGGCTGCAGCCCACGGGGTCACAGAGTCGGACACGACTGCAGTGACTCAGCACACACGCATAGCACAGGCTTTTCCTGCAGGTAGGGACCCCTTATTAATGATTATTTGTCCAGATTGAGAAGGTTTTTTTCCTTCAAATCAATTTATGGAACTAGAGACCAGCAATACCAGTTGAATGAAAAATCCACTTGCTGGGCAAGAAAAGCACAAGACCAATAGCAACGAAGACAAGTGAACACAGCCACAAACCCAGTGGGGAGGCTGAGTTCTTACATTTCCTTTCATTTCATGATAAACCCTTAAAATCACGGGCTCTCGTCTCCATTATTCCCACAGTTCTCCCTCGGAGGTGGTTCTCTATTCAGAGACATCTCAAGGAAATCTCACTGCTTAACCTTTAACCTCTGGCTCTCTGCAAAGTTTTCTTGTTCATTAGATTGGTAATAGAAAGAGAGTGCAGCCTGGCGGTGAGGACCACGGATTCTCTCATCACACAGGCTGGGTTCAGGCATGATCTTGCAATGCCAACTTTGTGGCCTTAGAAAATTTTCTTAACTTCAGAGCCTCAGTTTCTCCATCTGTGAAATGAAAATAATAGTAGTTCCTACTTCATACGGATATTGATAAAAATGAAAGCATGCATTTGCAGAGAATATTTACTCAACCAATATTCTTCACCTTCAGTGTGGTCCATATACGTACATGGAATACACACACCGTGAAATACTAGTAACCCATAAAAAAGAATGAAATACGGCCATTTGCAGCAACACGGATGGGCCCAGGGTTTATCACACCAAGTGAAGTGAATCAGACAGAGAGAACAGACGGCAAATGATATATCATTTATAGGTGGAATCTAAAAAACAAACAAACAAACTTATTTACAAACAGAAACAGACTCACAGCCATAGAAAACACACTTATGGTTACCAAACAGAAATCGAGGAAGGATAAATTAGAGGCACAGAATTAACATGCACACACTCGTGCATATAAAACAGGTGACCAACAAGGACCTAATGTACAGCATAGGGAATTATATTTAATATCTTGTAATAGCCTATGACAGAAAATAATCTAAAAAGATGTGTATATATATATATATATATATGGGTGTAATGTATACAATGTACTCCAGAAACTAACACAATATTGTAAATCAACTACAGTTGAATTTTTTAAAAAAAACTAATTTTGGAAAATAAATAAAAATCTGAAAAAGAAATTCTTCCTGTTCAGTCTTTGGAACTCTTGGAGTCCTGACTGCAGGCACTGTGCTTCTAATAATACTCCGTCTCTCCTCTCTCCCTGCCTCACAGGAGAGACCTCCCACGCTTGAGCACCCCTTTTTCAAGTATTATCACTGGTGAATGAAAGCAGACCCGTCGCACTGGGGAATTCCCCCAAGCACCCAGCCACAGTGAGTGGGGGGATAGAGCCTCACTGATATCGTGCAGCCCACGCAAATCTGAGCCCAAACGTCCCTCACTTTGGTACCGCTCCGGCTGCATTTTATCCACGTGGCTCTGAAAAGGCCAGGTGAAGAAAATGAGGACATGGGCATAAATAGTCACATTCCTCATCTCACGGATGGATATTTGCCTATCAATTCCCTTTGCACAAGCTCTCTCATGCCTTCATTTTCCCTATGCAATTACTGGTCCTAAATCCTTTCTGAGAAAGGGAAGCACGCATCCCCAATAGCATTTTGCATCCACAAATCAAATGTATAATTGGCATCTCGTGACGGGGGCCCACAAATCACAGTGCATTTGAAATTACAGGCACAGGATCGAGAGGGCGCTTTCAGCCTTGTCTGAAAAGGTCTTCATAAACCTGTTTGAGAATAACAGAATAGTTCCCAAATCTCCCATTCTAACACCATTTGCTAGTATTTCAAAATCATTATATTTGCTGAGCTTACATAATTTTTGAGCTATCAGTGGAAGACTTTATTTGATGCTCCATAATCTCTTCCTGCCGTGCGACTCTCTACCAACAAAGCCGTTGTACCCAAAGAGACACTGGCTCTCAAAAATATAATGGTTGTGCATCCAAATTACTTCTGAGCACTCAAAAATGATTTATTAAGATGACTGTATGCCAACAGGGTCAAGTGTCACAGTAAACCTTACCATGAAGATGCCAAGGGTTGTCTCAGTTTAACTTATATGCCAATGTCCTTCTTGTAGAGATATGTCTTTGATAGGATTTGAATTTCAGTCCAGCCTTCCTGAAAGGCATGCACGAGAATTTAGAGACTGTCCCATTACAGGAGTATTAGAATGATAGCCCTTAAACATTAAAATGATTAACTTGGGATTCTAAGCATTTATAAAGAATGATTGTTGCTGTTCAGTGGCTAAGTCTTTGCAACCCCATGGACTGTAGCACACCAGGCTTCTCTGTCCTTCACCATCTCCCAGAGTTTACTCAAACTCATGTCCACTGAGCTGGTGATGCCATCCAACCATCTCATCCTCTGTCACCCTCTTCTCCTTCTTTCTTCAATCTTTCCCAGCATCGGGGTCTTTTCAAATGAGTCAGCTGTTCACATTGATGGCCGAAGTACTGGAACTTCAGCTTCAGCATCAGCCCTTCCAATGAATATTCAGGGTTGATTTCCTTTATGATGGACTGGTTGGCTCTCCTTGCTGTCCAAGGGACCCTCAAGAGTCTCCTCCAACACCACAGTTCAAAAGAAGACTCCTGCCAGTTTTCCTTTAAGAAGGCATTAGATGGCACAAGAGACATCGTTTGGCTTTTTCCTTTATTCACTGCTCATTGTTCATGAAAGCGTCAATTCAATTGTTCATTCCATGTGGGAGGCACTTGGTCTGAGCAGGGAAATGGGGGTGGAATCTGTCACCTGCTATTGTTATTTCATGTCTTTTCCTGTCCTCTCACAGGCTATGCCCAGGAAGAACAGCTGAAGGAAGAGGAGGAAATCAAAGAGGAAGATGAGGAAGAGGAAGACAGTGGTTCGGGAGCTCAACCTCAGGGCAGCAATGACGCAGGGACCGACGAGGAGCTGGAAACGGGCACGGAGCCAAAGGGCTGCTTCAGCTACCAGAACTCTCCAGGGAGCCACCTGTCCAACCAGGACGCCGAGAATGAGTCCCTGCTGAGCGATGCCAGCGATCAGGTGTCAGACATCAAGAGCGTGTGTGGGCGAGACGCCTCGGACAAGAAAGCCAGCGTGCACCCCAAGCTTGCAAACGAAGCCCACAGCTGCATGGATAAGATGACCGCCGTCTACGCCAACATCCTGTCCGATTCCTACTGGTCGGGCCTGGGTCTCGGCTTCAAACTGTCCAACAGCGAGAGGCGGAGTTGTGACACCCGAAACGGCGGCAACAAGACGGATTTCGACTGGCACCAGGACGCTCTGTCCAAAAGCCTGCAGCAGAACCTGCCCTCGCGGCCCCTGTCGAAGCCCAGCCTCTTCAGCTCCGTCCAGCTGTACCGGCAGAGCAGCAAAATGTGTGGGACCGTTTTCACCGGGGCCAGCAGGTTCCGCTGCCGGCAGTGCAGCGCCGCCTACGACACCCTGGTCGAGCTGACCGTCCACATGAACGAGACCGGCCACTACCAAGACGACAACCGCAAAAAGGACAAGCTCAGACCCACGAGCTACTCCAAGCCCCGGAAAAGGGCTTTCCAGGATATGGACAAGGAGGATGCTCAAAAGGTCCTGAAATGCATGTTTTGCGGTGATTCCTTCGATTCCCTCCAAGATTTGAGTGTCCACATGATCAAAACAAAACATTACCAAAAAGTGCCTTTGAAGGAGCCAGTCCCAACCCTTTCATCAAAAATGGTCACTCCCGCCAAGAAACGCGTCTTCGACGTCAATCGCCCATGCTCCCCAGATTCAACCACTGGGTCCTTTGCAGATTCGTTTCCGCCCCAGAAGAATGCCAACCTCCAACTGTCCTGCAACAACCGCTACGGCTACCAAAACGGTGCCAGCTACACCTGGCAGTTCGAGGCCTGCAAGTCCCAGATCCTGAAGTGCATGGAGTGTGGCAGCTCCCACGACACTCTGCAGCAGCTCACCACCCACATGATGGTCACCGGTCACTTTCTCAAGGTCACCAGCTCCGCCTCCAAGAAAGGCAAGCAGCTGGTGCTGGACCCACTGGCCGTGGAGAAGATGCAGTCGTTGTCAGATGCCCCAAACAGTGATGCCCTGGCACCCAAGCCATCAAGTAACTCCGCCTCTGACAGTGCAGCCTCCTCGACGGAGCTGAAGAAAGACAGCAAAAAGGAAAAGCCGGAGGAGATCAACAAGGATGAGAAAGTCGTGAAAAGCGACGACTATGAAGACCCTCTCCAAAAGCCATTAGACCCTACGATGAAATACCAGTATCTGAGGGAGGAGGACTTGGAAGATGGCTCGAAGGGCGGAGGGGACATTTTGAAGTCTTTGGAAAATACCGTCACCACCGCCATCAACAAAGCCCAGAATGGGGCTCCCAGCTGGAGCGCGTACCCCAGCATCCACGCAGCCTACCAGCTGTCGGAGGGCACCAAGCCCTCCTTGCCTATGGGCTCCCAGGTCCTGCAGATCCGACCCAACCTCAGCAATAAGCTGAGGCCAATCGCACCCAAGTGGAAAGTGATGCCGCTGGTGTCCGTGCCCACACACCTGGCCCCCTACATGCAAGTGAAGAAGGAGCCGGAGGAGAAAGAGGACGCGGTGAGGGAGTGTGGGAAAGAAAGTCCCCGCGAAGAGGCGTCCTCTTTCAGCCACAGCGAGGGGCATGCTTTCTCCAAAAGCGAACCCCCTGCGGAGCCCAAAAAGGCTGAGCCGCGTCCCCCGAAGGAGGAGGACAGGCTGGTGAGAGAGAGCGGTGAGAAAGAGAAAGCCCAGGCTTTGGAGCCGGCGTCTCCACTCAGCAACGGCTGCGCCCTCGCCAACCCCGTGGCGGCCCTGCCAGGCATCAATCCGCTCAGCGCCCTGCAGTCCGTCCTGAACAATCACCTGGGCAAAGCCACGGAACCCTTGCGCGCGCCCTCCTGCTCCAGCCCAAGCTCAAGCACAATGTCCATGTTTCAGAAGCCGAGCCTCGGCGTCATGGACAAGCCGGTCCTGAGTCCCCCCTCCACGAGGCCGGCCAGCGTGTCCAGACGCTACCTGTTCGAGAACAACGACCAGCCCATTGACCTGACCAAGTCCAAGAGCAAGAAGGCCGAGTCCTCGCAAGCACAGTCCTGCACGTCCCCACCCCAGAAGCACGCCCTGTCCGACATCGCCGACATGGTCAAGGTCCTCCCCAAGGCCACCACCCCGAAGCCCGCCGCCTCCCCCAAGGTCCCTCCAGTGAAGCTGGAGATGGATGTCAGGCGCTTCGAGGACGTGTCCAGTGAGGTCTCCACCTTGCATAAGAGGAAAGGCCGGCAGTCCAACTGGAACCCCCAGCATCTCCTGATCCTGCAGGCCCAGTTTGCCTCCAGCCTCTTCCAGACCTCCGAGGGCAAATACCTGCTGTCCGACCTGGGTCCGCAAGAGCGGATGCAGATCTCGAAGTTCACGGGGCTCTCCATGACCACCATCAGCCACTGGCTAGCCAACGTCAAGTACCAGCTTAGGAAGACGGGCGGGACCAAGTTTCTGAAAAACATGGACAAAGGGCACCCTATCTTTTACTGCAGTGACTGTGCCTCTCAGTTCAGAACCCCGTCCACCTACATCGGTCACTTAGAGTCCCACCTGGGTTTCCAAATGAAGGACATGACCCGCCTGGCCGTGGAGCAGCAAGGCAAACCGGAGCAGGAGATCTCCCGGGTGTCGTCGGCCCAGCGGTCCCCGGAAACCATAGCTGGCGAAGAGGACACGGACTCTAAATTCAAGTGTAAGTTGTGCTGTCGGACATTTGTGAGCAAACACGCGGTAAAACTCCACCTAAGCAAAACTCACAGCAAGTCACCAGAACACCACTCACAGTTTGTAACAGACGTGGATGAAGAATAGCTCTGCAGGTACGCGTTTGCTCCCAGCTGGTTGTGCCGCTGACTTTGTGAGGCGCTTCTAGAAGGGAGATGGTTCCGTTTAGAGGCAGCTGACCTCTCCCTACCGCGAGAGGACTGTAGCCTACTGGAGTAGACCAGAACAGAAATAAGTCCTAACCATGCTCTCAGTGTCTGCAGTTTAGCGTTGGGGAGGAGAGCGAAACGGATTTAGAGAGTCGGAGCTCAGAGGTTACTGCTTCTGGATTCGTGATCGCCTTAGGGCCCCAGGGCCCCAGTCTCAAGGTCCAGTTAAGGCTCTGCCTCCTTGTAATTAACAAGGACCGACTTCTCTTACTATCCTGTTTCCCTGCTTCCCCTTCCCGTAGTCATGCTAATGACTTATAAAGTGATGAAAATTTTAAAAAAGAAATAGTGAGCAAGGGAATAAAGATTGTAGAGTTCCTGGAGGCAGCCACTTGCCAGAGATTTCTTAACCAATTCGTGAATAGTTTAAAGCTGGCTTTATCATTATTAGTTATAATTAATGCTTTTGGCAGCTTATTTGCAGCAATTGCTACCTTCCACTGCCCACCCCACCCCAATTTGTTCATTTGCTGTGCATTCGGTTTCCTGTGAAAGGGCAGGTGCCCTGTAGTCGGATGGTAGGAAAATACTCTTCTCTGCAGGACACTCAGATGAAAAGAGAGGAAGCTTATTTCCTTCCCAGGTCTTTTGGTTGCTCTTAAGTTAAAGCTAATATCAGAGTCCACCTTTAGCAAAGGTAGATGCAATGCATGGCTTGAAACTTTATTTTATATAAAGAAACAAATGGCACACTCATTGCCTATGCACGTGGGGTCCCACAGCTTCGAGACAATTTGCATCACGTGTTGTCGAAGTTCCATGCCTGGCAGAGTCAGCAGGGCCCAGCCGATCTCTGTCACCTTCAGGAAAGCAGACAGATTCCAAGGTCAAATACCTTGGCAGACTAGTCACACCAGCCACTTTCAAATACTGGGCATAAGCAAGGCGGAAATTATTTCCGCCGCCCTTTGTGTTTCCTCTCCTTCCTTGTCTCTCCCCTCCAGCATGATACCGCCCCCGTGGGCTAGAAACCCCCACACATGCATCAGTTGTCCTGCACTCTGGGCCACAACCCAAAATAGACCCCACCTGACTAAAACTCTGCCCCTTGCCAACCCAGGTTGTGTCGTGCTAGGTTACAGACTAGTCTTTGTAGTTACATATGCGATAAGATAGGAACAGCTAATAATAGCATGCAGCTGACCCTTGACTAACGCAGGGGTGGGGGGCACCAACCCTCTGCACAGCAGAAAATCCATGTGTGACTTCTCGTCACCTCCCCGTGACGGTTCCTCCGTATTCCTGCTTCTCCTGTATCCGAGGTTTCACGCCTGTGGATTCTGCCAACCCAGACTGTGGAGTACTGTGGTATTTATCGCTACTTTTGGAAAGACTCCACGTACAGGTGGCCTCATTAGGTTCAAACACACGCTGCCCAGGGTCAGCTGTGCAGGCCCTCCCCGCCCCTGCCGTCAGAGCACTGTTGTTAAACAGGAGGTTTCAGGGCAAGCCGCCGAGCGACGAGCAGGAGCGGAGCTGCGGGCAGGGACGGGTGTGACTACGCTGCGGGTGTGGGCTCACGTCACATCATACAGGAGGGCTTACCGGATGTGAGGACGGTCAGAATGAAACTAGGGGTTGAAATCTGAAACTCTCCCCTCAGTGAGATGATCTAAGAGCCTCTGATGGTGGGGGAGCCCGTCCCATCACGCAGATGGCTATCTGGGCCCAGATGATGACTTTGGTTTTGCTTGCATGCTTTTATCATGATAATTAAAGTGTGTTACTGGCAGATTCCTCTCTTGCTTTCTAAGCACGGTTTGTTCAGCTCGCACTATACTGAAAGAAAAGCTGAAACACATCTATTGAATCTACATGTGAGCTTGGGGTTCCATGACACCTGTTTATTTGCTATACAATGTTTTCAATTGTATGTAACTTGCTATTATGCTTTCCTGGTCCTTCAAAAAAGAAAAAAAAAGGTGGATACATACAGAACACACATAGAAAACTGTTTCCAGTCTCAGAGCGGTAGGTCCAAATCATGATGAAAATGACAAATAGGTATGCTTATTTGTGCTACAATAAAGACCTATTTTCCACCTTTTCCATGTTAGGTCTGTAATCATTTTTTAAAATTAATATCATAATCAAAACATTACAATATGTAGATATAGAATAAGGAGAAACAGAAAGCCTCAGTCAAAATCTGAAACGCACATACCTGTTCTAGGGAAGCCAAGAAAAAAAGTAATTGGGAAAAACCTATACAAAGGGACCTGATGCTCTCTAGTTGCTCAGCCGTGGCCAACTCAAAGGTACTTAAGAGTCTATTAAATACATAGATAGGTTAGCTCTTGTCTCATCCTTCTGCGTCTGTACAGAATAAATATTTCTGATTTGGACCTTCAAAGCGTCATATTACAGAATTATCATTATATGAAAACAAAGCTCCCTTAGATAAACACTAGTGTGCTGTGATTCTGACCGAGGATTGCAGAAAAACAGGTCTGTGTGCTCAGGAATCATTCAGAATGTATGTGCCGCGTGCACATAAAAAACGGTGTGGGTGCTCAGTGTTCACGTCGATGCTAAGGATGCCCCCGCCTGCCCCACAGCCCCCACACCTGCACAGAGGCAGCTTTCTGGGGCTCTGGTCAGCTGCAAACGAACCCCCCCCACCTTACAGCCCTCTTTGACAATATGCATGCAAAACCTTGCCCACTGCTCAGAATGGTGCTTATATGATACTAAATGATCACAGAATGAGATCACTGCTATCTGGAACACTAATTTCAGTTAGGATGCCTGATCACATGAATTGCACAAAAATGACATGTCATTTTGGGAGGGATGGTCATGGTTTTATGGAAATTTTGAGAGTTTTACAGTATCTATGTTCTATGCAAGATGTGAATTTTGACCTGAATTTTCTTTCTTGTCTTAGATAGGTCTTTAAAAAAAAAGATAAGTCTTAAATTTTATCAAATTCTCTGCCAAATATTAAATGCAACTTTTCATGAGAAATTAATTAGACTATGTTTGATGTGCATCCCTAATTTAGGACATAAGTAATCTGAGACAATTTCAGTAGATATTTGTATATACCTTTGAAAGCCACATGCTCTTGAAAAACAAATTAAACAAAGAGCACATCAATGAGTCTAAGATGCGTAAGGACTGGGAATTATAGCCGTTGCCGCAGCGCACAGGAGTGTGCGAGTTGAGCGTCATACCTGGCCTGGAAATTGATAGAGGGAACGAATTCTGGTCCAATAAGCTGCCGCCTCTGGTGTGGATGATTTGATAAAACCCATGTTCAGGATGAACAGCATGTGAGGTTCTCAGACAAAATACAGGGTGTCCAGCTAAACTAGCATTTCAGGTAAATGACAAATACATTTTTAGAATAAGCATGTCCCCAATATCGCATGGGCCATATTTATACTAAAAAGTGCTCATTGCTTATCTGAGGTTCAGATGTACCTGGGCCTTCTGCGTTTCTATTCGCTAGACCCGGCGACCCTAAGGGCAGGGGTTCTGCGGCAGCCTGGGACGATGAGCTGGGCTAACCCACGGCTGGGCTGCCCTGCTGGCTCAGCCGTCAAGAACCTGCTTGCAAACGCAGGAGGCATGGGTTCCATCCCGGGTCGGGAAGATCCCGTGGAGAAGGAAATGGCAGCCCACTCCAGCGTTCTTGCTGGGAAATCGCATGGACAGAGAAGCCTGGCGGGCTGCAGTCCGTGGGGCCGAGAAATAGTTGCACACTACTTGGCGACTAAACAACAGCAACTCAAGGCTATTACAGGCACCAACCTTGCCTTCATCCAGTAAACAATATTCTTCTTTCCTTACTCTTCCATTTTCCTCCCTCCCTTTCTCCCTCCCTCCCTTCCTCTGTTTCATCTATCATCAAATACTGGCTGGGCTTTTACTGTGCACCAGGCCCTATTAGCAAAGCAGTGTAGAGACGAGCCAACAGCCGTGCTGATTAAATGCGCCAGGCCTGCAGCATGCAACCACACGTACTCTTTCACTTGATTCTCCCAAACAGTCGTCTGAGGCAGGGGCTGATTCAACCACTTTCCAGGGGAAGGAATGGAAGCAGAGAGAGTCCGCATGAATCTCTCACAGCTCCACCGTCTCTGAGCCTCCCTCACTCAGCACCGCTCATCGAGAAAGCCATCACTCCATGCCAGACACTGTGCTAATCCCAGGGAGTCAGCCGGTGACCGACTGGGACAAGAGTGTGCCTGGGCGGCTGCCCATGCAGACGGCTCTGGGGCAGACACTGAACGGCCGGTCCCGGGGGAGCGGAGGAGGGGATGGTGGTACAGGCCAGGGTGGGCCCGCACCTGCAGGCCTGCACTCAAGCCCCAACTCCCCCACCGTCCCTAAGATGTGCCCCACTTCTGTGTCTTTGAAACGTGGACAGAATTCTCCTCTAGAGGAAAGTCATGAGAATCAAGTAAAAGTATGAATTTCTTTTCCATAAAGCCTGGTGCATAGTGGGTTCACAAGAAGAGTTAGTTCTAGGCAACATCTTGAGGACCCTATCACGTTCTTCGGCCTTGCCCAGAGCGTAGAGAACTTACAGCGTATTCCCGGGTTGAGCTACTGAACACCCAGGCAGGTGCCCCAAGGAAATGCTGTTGCTTGGTCCCTAAGTTGTGTCTGGCTCTTTACGACCCCAGGGACTGTAGCCCACCAGGCTCCTCTGTCCATGGGATTCTCCAGGCAAGAACACTGGAGTGGGCTGCCATTTCCTTCTCCGGGGGATCTTCCCGACCGGGGGTTGAATCTGTGTCTCCTGCTTGGCAGGCGGCTGCTTCACCACTGAGCCGCCTGCGGAGCCCAAGGAAGCGCTGACCTACTACTTAATGACAGTCACAGAATGACAGCTGAGACGTCCTGGCCTCTTTCCATGAGCCGGGTGTGGGTATTCACATCAGCCTGATTCTGCCAAGAGCTCAGGGGCGTCTGTGATTTGTCTAAGAACGCACAGTGAGTGTAGGATTTGAACCTAGGACTGCCCAGCACTCATCAAGTTTCTCCTGCATCTTGGCTTCCCCTCCATCTTGCTTGATGGTTTCCAGGTGCTCCCCAAGCCCAGGAATCCATCCCGCGGCTCAGAGAAAAGTCTGCGAAGTGTGGCATACGTGTACAGAGCTGACAAGAGCTTGCCTCAGCCTCTGGGAGGCTCCAGCTACAAACCAAGTACCACAGCTTCAGGAGCCAGGGACCAGCCTGGGGAAGAACCCACACAACCCTCACTCTCTTTAATGTAATTTCCTTATTCAGTCACGTAATGATACACTCCCCATGGAGCATCTCACTAAGAAATGGTCCAAATCCCAGGGAAAATAACTCTGTGAGAACTACTATTATTTTTAATCCTCATCTTGACTCTCATTTTGGGGAAGCAAGATGTGAAATCGGAAACAGGGCTAGCCTTGAGACCACAGCGTTTCTAACGCAGCAAGAAACAAGCGCGTCCCCTCCATTCACATTTTCATTTCCTCCACGCTCTGGCTTAACCCCTCTTTTGCATCGATGCATCTCCGCCTTCGTTGCACTTTCCCCCCTCATTTGGACTTCTGAATGCTCTGTCCTGACGGGTATAATTTGGTGCTTTAATATAGAGTAACATTATTTTTCATTTACTCCAATCTGCCATCAGTATCATCTTTTCATTTAACCAGATGCAATTCTTTTTTCTTTCGCTAAATTGAAAATCCATGAGCGACAGGGAGTGCAATGTTTTAATTAGCTCATATTTTTTATATGGATTTATGTCTTTAAAATACATTTGTGTAATTCTTCAGCTAAATTAAAAACGTCTTTCTGCAAAAGTGAGGAGGGGAAAATAAGGAGCTAAATTGTGTCATTAGCTTAGGTAGCTATAGATAGAGGGCCAGATCTAGCAGAGGGACACACACACCATCACCGGTGCCTCTGCCTGGGCGGATCTTGAACTTGCCCTTCATTGAAAGAAGTCTTTCTCTGTAAAGGTTTTTCAAAAATGGCTTGAGATGGGATTTTTTTTTTAAGGCCCCTAGTAAGTAAACAAGCAGTTACCTTTAACGAACTAATTTGAAACTGAACCTGCCGCCAAGCAAAACCGAAGGAAAAAAAAAAAAAACAGAAGTCATCACGATAAACAGTTTTCTCCTGCATTTCTCTCTTTGTCTTTTTTTTTTTTTTTTAACGATCAAGTTTAAAGCGTTCCACGGTGCTTTTTTTCTACTTTATAGGAGACAAGTGACATTCCGTGGTAAATGAGAGAAAAAGCCATGCAGAACTGAAATCTTTCTAATGCATTGACACCAACTTGCCCTCTATTGTTGGAAATGAGCAGGCGCTCATGATTGTTCATCAAACAGCTCCTAATGCAGTTAAAGCATTCAGCTATAATTTCTCCTTGCATTTATAATTACTGTCATAGACTGCACACCTCGGTGAGCAGATTAAAGCTATAAACTATTTAGCCGCAGCTCTAAGACGAGGAACTTGATTTGTCTGGCAGGAGTTATTTGTTAGGGAGCTTGACACTTCACATAAAAATGACTCAACTTGATGAAGAACAATGCAGTTTTAGCAATGCAGGGATTTTAAATCAGTCACGCCGCCACGCCCTGCAAGAATCGCAGGGCAGTTTGTTAAAAGATATGGAGGCCACAGAGATAACAGAATGCGTCAAGGGTACCGAAATAGAAGAGGGTTTGGCGTGCGGGGTTGTCTTTCCTGTCTCCTCCTCCGAAAGAGCAGGAGTTTGTGGGAAATCGCTGCATGTCGTGTTCTCCTGTTAAATCCAGGCTCATCTGGCAGGAGACGGGGAGGCCGCGAGCCCAGGGCGCGTGTCACACGCCGGGGTTTTGGAGGACTTGGTCCTGCTGTTATGAACACTCACTTCCCAAAGCCCAGGAGACCAGGGCGCTGCAGAAAGCGCTGGTGGATGTTCTATCTGGAGTGTTCTGTCTCTCTTTGTCTCTTGCTGGTAGGAAGCGCCCGATACATTGAGGCACAGAAGGCCCTTCTCTTGCGCTCCTTCTCCAGCGGTGCTGTGAAGACTTGTGAAAGGAATGGAGGGCGGATCGATCCGGGAGGCCGGCCCGGATGCGGTAGTCAGTGCGGCTCCCCTCTGGCTCAGCTTGAGTCCAGGATCGGGTAGAATAGCGCGCATTCCGGGCGGCGCTCAGCACCGGGTCTGGTCCACCGAACAAGGGCGCGACTCGTGTTCCCCTCCTCTCTTGATCACCTACCTCAAAAAAAAGAAAGAAAGAAATCCTCTTCTGTTTTCCAAACTGCTACTGCTAAGTCGCTTCAGTCGTGTCCGATTCCGTGCGACCGCATAGACGCCAGCCCACCAGGCTCCGCCATCCCTGGGATTCTCCAGGCAAGAGCACTGGAGTGGGTTGCCATCTCCTTCTCCAACGCATGAAAGTGAAAACAGAGAGTGAAGTCGCTCAGTCTTGCCGACCCTTAGCGACCCCATAGACGGCAGCCCACCAGGCTCCGCCGTCCCTGGGATTCTCCAGGCAAGAGCACCGGAGTGGGGTGCCATCTCCTTCTCCAACGCATGAAAGTGAAAACAGAAAGTGAAGTCGCTCAGTCTTGCAGACCCTTAGCGACCCCATAGACGGCAGCCCACCAGGCTCCTCTGTCCCTGGGATTCTCCAGGCAAGAACACTGGAGTGGGGTGCCATTGCCTCCCCGTTGTTTACCTAAAGCTGAAGTCAAAATGGGGCGGATTGTGCCGTTTGACTTAAAGATATAAGCAGAGACCACTAGGACAGATGGAACTAGAGCAGCTTTGAGGGGGAGATGACAGTGCTGGCCGGTGTTCGGGGCCCTGGAGGGAAGGCAGTGTAGCGCTGACCTGAATTTCCGCCCCTCTGACTCTCCCTCTCCCTGCCACCAGCTCCCTGGAACATCCCCATTCCCAGCAGTCCAACCTCCCCAGTAGCTGCCTCACGCGTAGGAAGGTCGCCTTGGTCCATCATTTCGGGGCAAATGCCGTGTTGATG